ATTGTGATAAAGTTTTGAATTTTGAACATTAGAATTAATAAATAGATTTCAATAGGATTTGAAAAGAGTGAATTTTATATTGGACCATTTTTAGTTTAGTTGTTAAAATATGTATCCACTACGGTGAATATCTACATATTTTAATTTATTCACATGAATTGGACCTAACGTTGAATTAAATATTAAATAATTAAAATAAAAATAAGAAGTTTTTCTCAACGTCTTTTCCGTTACTTCATTATGATTTTATTCAATCGCTTTTTCTTTTGATATTTTTTGACAAGTAGAAAAGCATGTTTTTTTTATTTTTATTAACTGCTGTTATTGGGTAAAACATCGTATTGCTAATATATTTTTTTTAAATTATTTTTTCTTTAGACAAATGATCTGTAAGCTTCTACAGATAATTAGCATAAATGCTTTGTGTTTCTCTATATTATACTATATGGGATAATCATTTATTCTATGTTAAATAATATCATGATTTACTATTTTCTTTTCTTTTGTTTATTTTTAGCGACATTAGTTCAATATACAGAGTATCATCTCGATGAGGTTGGACATTCTCTATTTATTAAATCTATTTTTCTTACTTATTCTTTGTTTTTGCTAATATAATGTTTGTTACTGTGTTATTATCATATCAATTATCTATTTTATTTTTTGGATAGCATGCCGGATCATTTTGTATGATCTTCTTGATATTTTTGCCTATTTTAAAACTACTAGCTAATGAGAAGAGCATATATTCTTAGAGTTTAGTAGAAAAAAGTCTCAATTTTTGTTTTTTGATATGTACAGTGCTCCGTATACAATCGAAAACAAGAAAGAAAAACATCTTTTTCTAATAACAAGAACAACATGCTGAAAAAGCTTTAAAAGGTGATGATTTTCAATATTCACATCTTTTCTCAATCTATTGTTTTTTGCTTTCTTTTCTTTCTAACTGTGTAACAGGTAGTAAGAAAATTGAAAAATGGATAAGATCACAAAAACGATATCTATTCTATTTACTAGAATTTATTCATTATAGTAGATCAATCTGTTCCACTATTTTAACATCAATATACCTCTTTCTAATAACTATATGGTGTATAAATTCTTGAAACTATATTATCTAAAGAATTTATTTTGCATGTATCAAAATCTTGTCATTTATGAAAAATATTTTTGTCAATAGAGAAGCATGCTTTCCTGTTTACAGAGATGGCCGCGTCAACTAAAAGTTCTAAATTTGAAAATAAGCAATATTGTACGTTGGAAATGGACATACTTTATTAACAGTTTATCAATAGGAGATAATGTATAATATATAACGGAGATCACTTACTCCTCTGTAGACTTTTTGTTATACAAGAGACTACTACAAAATAGCAGAATTTAGGAATTTGCTCTATCCTTCTATGCTGATGCAACGATCTAGGCTTTTTTAAATCGTTTTCTGTTTCATTTGTCAAGTGATGATCGTTGTCATATACGTTTTAATGAGAGAAAATTTAGTATTTAAAATAAATCTGCTATGCACATAAATTGTAAAAGTCAGAGGCTCTAAAATTCTAAACTTCTGACTTCTGAGAAGTTGAAGAACATTTAGAGTTTTAGACAATTAGACGTATAGATTTTTTGGACAGTGTGAGCTAAATTCCTTAATTCTGAAATTCTTAGATTTTAAATTCATAAATCTATAATTAAAAATGTTTAGATTCTTTCGGGATTCTGCTGCTGGAGGCCGTATCACAAAAAAACGTAAGTCAAAGTCTAGACTTAAGTTAGACTTAAGTCTTCGATATGTGCACTTACGTACTAATTTGGTACACTTAAGTCTAGACTTTGATTTAAATTTTTTCGTGATACAACCCCCTGCGTGTGAACATGTGCGATATGAGGAATTGTTGGCAAGAAATCTCAAATTTAGAACTTTGACTTATGGTGGACAGCCTTCTCTGTTCGTTTGTTGCATAATCATAACAGTTATTATTAATCAGTATTTATGTTTCTATATACAGACAACTATCATGTTTAAAAAAGATTTTCTTTAGAAAAAAAAAATGAGAATTTTGCGTGGCTGTCTTATTTTGCTTTATTAACGCTCGCTCTATTTTCCCTAATAATATACCATTTTTATTTATTTATTGAGAGAAAAATGTGTTGACAGTTATATATATATATGAGTGTTGTACGTGTATGATACGCTTGTTACTGACTCTTTCTTTATATGACAAGAAATTTTACAGTAAATTTAGATTGTTGTCCAATACAAGATGTAGAAGATAGCGCAACTTTTTTTACGACAAAATACTAACATTATCAAAATTTATTTGCGTTAGCATGCATCATATAACAAAAACTCAAAACAAATAACTTTTCTACTGCTTAAGCTATTAATTCAAATTATTTAATTAATCTCTTAGTTTTATTTTATTTATTTTAGGTGTGAAACTAAGTGCTGTTTAAAGATGATATCAAAGAAATATGTTATCATATTCATATATATTTCTATCTTTACATGATGTTTTTGTTGTTCTATTTTTTAATACATGCAATCAATATTCTGTTTTTGCTCTTTTGTTTCTTTTTTATACAAGAAAATTTATTCTATTCTATTATACACTTTTCGTAATTCATAACTCATTTGTTATTATTCTACTACTACTACTACTGCTACTATTATTATTATTATTATTATTATTAAAGACAAATTGTTGTTTTATTCTGAATTTTATTGAAGAAATTATTTGATGAGCCATTACTTTGTGTTTTTCGCCTTTATACATTCATTATTGGTGCTTTTGTTTTAACTTCTGTGTTTTTTTAACCCATCCAACACTATCGATCGATAAGAAAAGCACAGTCAAACAAACAATGATCATTTCTATTTTTCTTTTCTTTTTTTCAAAGAAAAATTCAGGGGTATGTTTCTAGTACATTCCAGTATGGATTTGCTCTTTTTACGTCTTTTCTTCTTTTTTTTTATAATATAAACTATGTTTATTTGCTCAAAGAAAAACCCATGTGCTAATGCCAAATTTTGTTTTTGTGTGTGTGTTGTTTGTTTGTAAATAGAATAAACGTTTTATTGTTGTTGAAAACACAAATGTATAATCAGAGAACATTGGCTTAATCTTCTCTTTTTTTCTTGTTTTGATTATTCAACTAACTAACTAACTAACAAACAAACAAAGTGTGTATTTCGTGTCTTATTTGACTGTTTTTTTATTATTGTTTTTTTGTTTTCTTTTTAAGTAGTACACGTACACACACATACACACACACATATATACCACAGTACAAACGAGAAAAACCTATGTGAACATATATACCATCGGTATACGTGTTTTTATATTTGTTTTCTTTTCATCTTTCGATAGTTATTATTATTACTTATTATTCTCTCATTTATTATTAATATCTTCGAATAAAAAAGCGTTTAAGTCCAATTAAGAAACGATTGTTTCATAAACTTGACTTTTTTTTCTTCAAATGAAAATTTCAAAAAAACAATTTAATATTGAAAAACATTTTTGTATGCATCATGTCACATCTGATTTTGAAGAAATGTTTTGGAAATGTCGATCCAATTTAAAGTATAGTTACGATAAACTTTTGAAGACTCTATCTGTCAGCATTCAAGAGACCTCAGCCAAAAATGAGTCAAAAAAAAGGGGGTTCATATTTGCAATAATTCGCTATAACCGTACATATATGCCATAGAGCTCGAAATATATTCTAAATTGACCTGATAAAGATGGATATTTACAATATTTCATTTTGTAAAGATTCTGTTCTAATTTCACAAAAATTCTACTTAATACCAAAAAAAAGTTAGCTCGAAATTCAAAACTGAGACTCGGTTAGGCTCGTAGATACATATATTACGTTCAATTTAAAACGTCTCCCAGCTCTTTGGAATGTGAGTTTTTGAGAAAAGTTACAGAAATTACTCTCGAAAACTGCGCGTATAGTAAAGACTGGTTCAAGTTTCCAAGTTTTGAAGCTTTTCTTAACGAAAAAGTGGTTGTAAAACAAAATTTATTTAGTTGATAGATATGTACGGGTACTTATGCGAACCTTGTGTATTTGCTAAAAATAATATTTTTTTCCTTAGGTTTTCGCACTTTTGAAAAAAAACTTTAGTAACAGACTGAAAACATGTTTTCAAAGACAAAAAAGCTAGTGCAATCGAACGAAGAGACGTTGAACTATCGTACTAAGTGCCTTTCTAAAATCGAACGTATAAATTGTGGTCTTGAATCTTATTTTGTAACTGTATTCACGCAAAAGATGATAACAGGCTTTTTCTTTAAAATATCTCTTTATTACCCACAACTCTATACAACAACATATGACCACAATTCTGTAATAGATTTTAAATAAAATTTGATTGTATTCAACAATATTATAAAAATATTACGATTTATTGTCATTTATATTCTTATTCACGATTCAAAACTTTATTCAATAGAATCTATGTATCTATTCCGTTTAATAAAAAATTCAGAGGCATTATTTGAGAGAAGTAGAATACGACAAGTTCACGATGTTGGTGCAGTAATTTAGTCATCACGAGAAAAAAAACTCTGAGAATATCCAACATTTACAGTTTCTTTTCAACCGTTTATGGATCATTGAAATTTCTGAATAATTAAAAAGTTAAATCTTAGTTGAAATTTTAATAGAATATTCGCAAGGAAATTAGTTACTTTTTTGTATTTTTCATATTTTTGCATGATAATGTTGTTTGGAAAATAGTCCTCTTAAATATTAAGATTCTTCTAGTTATTTTATTTTAGTCTATTTAGTTATTTTTAGAGTATAACCTCGATTTATCTCTCAACTATTTTTCTTTATCCAAACTCAAGTTCGTTAAATGATCAATCTGTTGTTCATTGTTTGCCATCTAATTAATTATTCGATGATTTTATTTCAGATTTCAGATTTCATCTTTTATCTTATTCATAATTTTCTAATCGATAATGTTATATCATGAAGCATTTCGGATTATGAAGACTTATACTGAGACCCATCGTTCAATACGTAGTTTAGTTGCACAAAGTTCATTTAATGTAAGTTGCCATAGATTCATAATTTTGTTTAAAAATCTTGTATTTTTCTTGTCTTAGAATAAGCCACAATTATTAGCATTAGTGTCAAGATGTGTAAAAAACAGAACGATTCTTCAAACAATTGTCGATCGTTCAAAATTATTGGAACGTGAACAATTTTTATCCAATGATCTAGCACTCATACTTGTTTATGATGCGATTTTTGGAGTGGGTGTTCGAGGAAAATTTAAAGTAAGATACTCTCACTATTACGATCGTCTCTACAAATAGTTTTTTCTATACTGTACAACCAATTCAGATAAAGCATCTTAGTATCTTGACAATTTGATGTATGATGATTACAGTGACTTTGCGACAGTACGATATGCCAGATCTATACAAAATTTCGCCGTTTTTAAAGATTTAAAGAGGCAATTTTAAAATAAAGTATTTGAATATGAATGTTTTCAGAAGACTGTTAATACAATTTAGTTTCATGTTAATTTTCATGCGTGTAATCGCAAAAGATTTTAAAAAAACGCGTGTAAACATTGATCTGATGAGTTGTTTTTTCCCGCTAAAAGGACTTATGAATTATGAACTTTAGGTTAAAAAACTCAATTAAACGCGTTTTCGCGAAAACAAAAGGAAAAATCTCGATAAACAAGTGTGGTGAAAAAATGAGTTGAAAGACATTTTCGAATATACGGGAGTAAACCCATTTTTCTTCAAAATATAATAAACGCGATAAATGAGACTGTTCCCGTTCAAAAAACATCAATCAGCACCGAACGACTTTTGATCACCGAAGATTGCACCATAAAAAATCTCATGTGACTTATTGTAAAAGGTTATTGATGATAAGAGCAAAATTTGAATAAAACCAAACCATCCGAGCACACCTTTTGCATATATTTCTGACTTTGTCAAAATTCTACGTACGGCTCCGGAAATATCGATATAACATATGAATGCCCGAATTTTCTGGATAAAAGATTCTGTTTTATATCACAATTGTTTGATATTAAATTTTATGCCAGATTTTTGGCTCTTTTGGAGAATTACCGAATATTGTAGTGACAAATCGAACATTTAAACTGCATATGTTGCTGTTTTTAAAATTATTTTCATGTTAAAAAACTGCTTGGTAATTAAGATTCGACTGACCATACATTTAAACGCTTAAACGTTGACATAGACCTCCTGAATAGTATTTTTTTAAGGTTTCGATTTCCAGTGTCACCGGAAAGTAAATCAGCTGTTTTTTTATCAGATGGCACACTCAGGATCTCTGAACTTTATTCCGGGACATCGCATACAATTCCCCTATGTCTGCCTTATTTTGAAGAGAAATGGCAGTGCTACAAATTAAATCTAAATATTTGAAAAGAGCATTTATGCAGTATGAAACGAATACATTATCGACTTTCAGCAAGCCCGTTTTTTAGGATTTCTGACAAAATAGTCTTAATACCTAGAAAGCTGTTTATTATAGAGGGTTAGATCCAATCGGAAAGATTCAAGAGAAAACGCTTCAGACTACATCTCGATGTATATCTCGTGAGATCGATACTTGGTTAGAAACATTACACTTTTGTAAGAGAATGCTTTTAGGTTAGGTTTCACAGCAGCATCCAACATTCATATAACATAGGAAAAATTATTTTTTGTTGAAACTGATTTTATTCTATTCATCACTCAAAACTAGGCGAAAGACATAGTTTTTTTGATCTTAGTACCTCTTCGTTGTCGAGAAGTCAACATTTTCCTAAAGGTACCTTAAAATAGTGGACAAAACTAACCGCTTTTCATACTTTAGCTATATCTTTAAAGTCGTTTAAAGCTATATCTTTTCATCCGTTCTTTCCAAACAACATTTCATTCGAAAGAGCATAAAAAAATGTAGAATTCCAAGGGCTGCAAAATATATATCGTTTAAATTTTCATTAAGCTTTGCTAAGTATGAAAACTCGATTTTTTTCCGAAAAAACAATCGTGTTTTTGAAAAGTCATAATTTTTAAAATTCCAGTTTTTTTCTACATGTTCAACGTTTCGGGAGTAATGAAATAATAGGTTTTATTCGACTTTTTTATGCTCTTTCAAATAAAATGTTTTCTGGAAAGAATGGATGAAAAGTGTTAGCTAAAGTACGAAAAGCGATCATTTTCCTCTACTATTCTGAGGTGTTTTTGTAAAAATGTTGATTTCTCGACAACGAAGAGGTACTAAGCTGAAAAGTACTTAAACTACAGCGATCATTCCCTATGCAAAATTTTGTTGATGAGTCGCTGCCGTCTGTGTTTACTTTAGCCATGTTCTCCATACATTAGCTTCACAACCTGACTAAGTGATTTGCGAATAGTTTCAGACCAAAAAGAACAATTTCTTTCCCTTAGTTTTGAGTAATGGATCGAATGAAATTGGTATCAACAAAAAATAATTTTTGCTATGAAGAAAATACTCGATATTGTCGTAAAATCCTTCTTAAAAGAATGAAAGTCTCTTGTTTAATGCTGCTTGTCATGAAGTTTTATACTATGTTTACTAATATTTATTCTTATTTTTTTTAGGGTGTGATTAAGCGAAATCAAACATCATTTGATAAATGTGTTAAAAAGTTAGTTCGTGATCGAAATTTAAACGATTCAACAGACCTTGTAACAACATTGGATATTCATGACCCTAATTTGAATGAAATCAAATTGCCACGTTATTGTCGTATTAATCTATTAAAAACAACAGCAAAACAAATACAACATGATTTAAAAGTATTAGAATTCAAACGTCTTCGTCATATGTAAGTTTAAAAAAAAAGAAGAAAAAATTTTCAATAGAATGAGAAAAAGAGAAAAAGATGAAATATTGTCCCTGCTGATTTATATATTTTGATTTTATTTTTGATTCTAATTTTTTTTATCATCTTTTCTCTAATTATATTGAAGTCGCGGTCAATACAAAAAGCAATGAGAGAAATTGCATTAAAAATAAATCATTCGTATCTGATTAATGATGTCAGTCAATTATAGACAGATGTTTTATGTGTGCTGTGAGAGGACAGAAAAAGAACAATTTTTGTTTTCTTTTATATTATAACTGATAATCGTAATTGTAAAGAGGATGGAGTATTTTTGTCACTAGAGAATTTACTATTAATAATCTTCTATAATTGTTGTTAACGTCTGTGATTATAATTTCACTTCTGCATTTTTATCATTGGAAAATTGTGTTAATTGCACCATTTTTTATTGTTGATGGTGTCGGTCATGAATCTATATGAATTCTGAAATCAAATTAGGAAGTTAGAAGATTTATAACATTAGAATCAGATTCTTTTAAGTAAAGAAAGGTTGCATAGTTGTCTTTCCTGATATGAAGTACACCTTCACCTCTCTCGCATTTATAAAGAATGATCCCTTCCCACTCAAAAATTGATTTTCGAGAGGAAATGTTTGATCTTAACCAAATTTACAGAGAATGTTAGCCCTATCAAATTGCGTTCACACTAAAAATTTGAACTCGAAATCATGAGTTTTCTCTAAGTTATTCTAGATACAAAGGTCAAACAAGTAGAATTGGTCATTTACAAGATTTCTCCTATATTTTAAATTCTAGAAACCTGGCATTGGTCTTAAATGAAAAAGAAAACTATGTGCTATGATAGAGCAGAGCCTAATTTTAAAAATTTTTGTTTTTTGTCGTTTCCCTAATGGTTTACCTCGAAAACCTGAAAAACTATGGACTAATCTTACCGAATACCTTTTTTATATTATCTCAAAGACTAAAATGAAATTAGAAAAACCAGGCTCTACTATGCCGTAGCGCCGAGTTTTCTTTTTAATTTAAGACTAATGCAAGGTTGCTAGAACTTAACATAGAGAAGAAATCTTGTAAATGGTGGCAGATTTAACTTAAAAAAGCGATTTTGAAAAAAAAAATGATCCTTTAGAAAAGCTTGTCAAATCCTCTCAAAAACCATCGTAAAATCAAAAATCTATAGTGTATTTGAAAGCAGACACTTTGGGCTATCTAACCATGTATAAATCTCAAAATCGACTTTTTTTGAGTGGACGGTCGTTAATACCGAGCCATGATTTTTCAGGATAAACAGATCTCGCGAAGTAGTAGAAAAGTTCTATAGTCATTTTGCCAACAACCCTCTGTAATCTGTTGTCTTTTTTTCCATGTTTCTTTTGTCAAAATCACTTTTTTCATGTGTGACTGTTGTTCAAAATTTTGAAAACAAAAAGAAAATAGACATACGGTTAGATCTTGTCTCTTTGTGATAAAAATTTAAGCGTTCTAATGTGTTCTAAGTGAAGCACTGTTGTGAAAAACAGCTACTTTTTTCTGTTAAGACATCTGCAACGTAAAACTAAGCATGGGGAAACACGCGTCTAATATAACCACTTAGTGCAGGATTTTCCAAAGTTAATGTCTCATTTACAAGAGAACATTTTTATGTATTATACTGTTTAGTTTAAAGAAAAAGTTTGTCTTTTTTTGTGTGTCTCAGTGTGAAAATAATTTTAGCAAAAAAAAATGATGTTGAAATAATTTTTTTGTGAAAATACGTTAAAAGAGGACAGACACATGACTCTATATTAGAACATATCAAACTCGATTTTCAAAAAAACAACAGGATACTTTCGAAATCATCGTTTTTCTATATCATGATATCAAATCTTTCCGTTAATAGACGTTTGTTGTACAACTACTAACAAGTAAACAAGTTCTTATACATTTAGACTACTTAGGTGAGCATCTGTCAAATAGAGTTGAACTTTTTGAACAGTCACTTGGTAAAAATTACACAATATACAATTACGTTCTTTTAGTCGATCTAAACGATAATTTTTGTTAATGATCTATTTTATCTCCATCATACAACTGATATTATATATAGTATTCCTATTATTTTTTTTTTCACAATTACAAAACAGAAGTCATGCATCGTCGCGATGTCAATAAAAAAAAATAAAAAAAATGAAATGATTTACTCATCTTGAATGTGAATGATAATCAAAAACTAATTGACCAAACTAATTTCAATGCCATCATTATAATAGACTGGGAGAATATATCAATCATGATGATTTGACTTTTATTTTATTTTTTTTGCTTGGTAGTTTTATCCTATCACACATTATTGTGAATGAAAAGGGATATATAGGAGTGACGAAATAACATTTGAAACAAAAATTAGCAAACAGATGCATAATCCATTCAATGTGACGGATTTTTCTTTTTACTTTTCGTTCTATTAACAGCATTCACCTCGTTTTTTGATGATGAAGAAGAAGAAGAAAAAAAATCCATTGAATGATTTATCACTGTCTATAATTGCTTATGGGATTTAACCATTTCTCTGTACAATTAAAAAGTTTAATTTTTTTTGTTTTTTTTTTTGCTTTGAATAACTAATTTCAATTATGGTATTTTAGTATTTTAATCCGAAAAAGAGAAAAAAAGAAAAAGAAAGTGATGGGTATATGTTATTTACCTATATATGTTAATTGGTTATCAATAATATAACATTATCAAATTATGACTATTTATGTTTTGTAAAGAATAAAATCAAGACAAGTGAATTATATACAAAAAATTTTGTCAAAGCACCGCTAAAATTGTGAAACTCCTATATCCTTCATTCAATAGTTTAACTGAGCATATCTCATAAATAAATTAATCTTTATTTTCGGTAGTTTTTCTTAATGATTTAACTCTGATTTATTTTGTTAAACCTTGATTATTCGGTTTCTAATAACATTTTCGTTTAGTTATAATTTAAGATGATTTACTAGGAGAGATGGGGATTAAAAAACCACCGAAAACCATGGGATTTTGGGTGTATAATCTCAACGTCTCTTTACGGAGTTTCAAAAAACTAAAAGATATTTTACATAAGTAATATGATTAAAATATGGATTGTATTAGCTCGTCGAATAGCGAGAACAGTTGAAAATACATGTGATTCGAGCATGTTGTGAGCTACTAGTCGACATATAATAAGTTAGAACAAAAAGTGAATATTTTAATCAAATAATGATTTGATCTTTCTCTTATTTAACACCGCTCATCATTTCTTTTATTTTGGTTTTTTCATCAATCGAATGTCGTCCACTATCAAAAATTAAGAGAAAAATTTCTTCTATTTTGTTTTGTTTTTTTTCGCGTTTTATGATGTTATCTTATGGATGATCGAAATGACACATTCAACTTAATTGAGTCTATAGACTACTATTCATACTATTATTATATAAAAGATAATGAAACAACATAACAAAAATTCAATAGTGAAAGTCAGAAGACAACTGTTAAATAATTATAACATGAATAATTAACATGTTTTTTCATTTTTCATGGGAAAAAAGACAAATCAAAGAATACACACATTCATATGAAATAAATTAAGAATATTATATCATAGAAACATTCGTCGATCATCATATTACAGTTAATTAGAAACTGTAGCAACAAATGCCCCAGATGAATAGGAGAAAAATGTCGGTTACTTCAATAGTAATCATTGTCACGGTTATAAATTATACATACACAAAAGAATACACACTTGTTATATTCATCTTCGGCAAAGTCTAAAAAGTTAAATCAAATTTTCGATTGTTATGTATCTAATGTTAGAGATATTTTATAGTGAGAATTCTGCGCAAAGAACGTCGATTAGAATTTGTTTATTCATTCTAACTGTATATCGAGATATTTTCAAATTCTTTGGTTTTTTTTCGTCTCTTTTAGTGAGAATTTTGAAAGTTCTTCTTTATTGATTTCAGAATTTAATCGAAAAATATAGCCAAAGATCAATGTCTAGTGACGAATAATGCTCAATTATTTATTTCAAAAACTTGTTGATCGTGTTATATGCGCTAGTTAGTTAAAGTAAAAAGAGAGAAATCAATAGTCTAACAATTTGTCAATGATTAATGAGTAAGAATCATATACCAAACAAAATTTAGGAAATACGCATTGTTTTCTGAGTTCTACTTCTGCAGTCTCAGTTGAAGCATGAATAGGAGACTATACATTAGTGCTTACACACTTGGAAATAAAGAAACACGTGATAGAATAACATCCGAAAAATATTAGCATAACAATAGTTAAAAAATGTGGATGACGCTTATTTTGATGCTTTTATTGATATGTCGATCACAAAAACCTAGTACGCCACTACGTTTACACCAATATCGTTTTTTTTAAGCTCCGTTTAACTATTGAAGTTTATTTACGTTAGATTCGTAGTAAATTTAATTTTAGACAATGCACTATTTGAACATCAGTTAAATACAGCAATCTATCCATGATCAATCTAAAAAGTTTTCTTTTCAGGAAATCGAGAGTGAAATTAAAAATCATTGTGTCATAATTTTCTAAATGGAACTTAAAAAAAAGATAACGCTGTGTCGACATCATTAGCAGGGATTTTCGAACGTTTTTGGTTTGGATAAAAACACAAACACTTTTAGAAAAAATTCACTGATGAAAACAAATAAAAACGAGAGAGTAATCATCTCTCTTTCTCGTCTTAATCGCAAAACGTTTCGTTATTCTATATAACTTTGACTATTTTGTGAAATACATCATTTTAAAAGAGAAAATTTACTTTAAATGTACTGTGTGTAGTGTCATGATGGAATATATGAAATAATAGAATGAATGTAGGTTATCTATCTGAGACGTTTTTACCAAGTACTTAATTTAATTTCAAAAAGTAGACTTTACAGTAGTAGAATTATTGTGTGAATAAAAAAAAAAAAGAACAAAATACAACATGAAAATTCAACAAAAACAAATATTTAATTATAATTGGACGATGAATATGTTCTAAATTATATTTTTATTATTTTTCGATTGTAAACGTTTAACATGTAATGGTATTGGACATATAATTTTTGTTTGTGTTTCATTTGTCTCTGTATGATGTTGATTAAATTGTCTTAATGCGCCAGCTTTAATACGTTTCCATTTAGCACGACGATTTTGAAACCATATTTTTACTTGTATTTCACTTAAATTTAATGTTTTAGCTATATCTGAACGTTCAATTAATGATAAATATTTTTTATTATGAAATTCTTTTTCTAATTCAATTAATTGATCATTTGTAAATGCTGTACGTTTACGACGTGATTTATTTGAATTATTTGTCGAACCAATATCTGGAATAGAATTATCTTGTGATAACATATTTTGACGAAATAAAATTCTATCTGGTGATGATAATGATGGTGTAGTTGTTGTAATTGAAGATCCCAAAGATGAATTATCATCATCATCACTAAAACTTGATGTTCGTGAATTTGTTGTATTATTTGAACTGTTCAAACTGGTTGAATGATTTCGATTTTCTATAATAGAATAAAAGAAATATTTTAGTTTAATTATGTTTAAATAAAATTTTATTATTATTATTGGATTATTTAAATTACAGCACTAATGTTTATAAATACTAATTTTTAATATACTTTTATTCGTACAAATATTACATTTAACAGCTAAATATTTTGATGTTTGCCAACATCTTCAGCAATAATGTTGCTACTGATGAAGACGTTGGTAAACGTCGAAACGTTTTAACTGTTAAATGTAATATTTATAGAAATAAAAGTATATTAAAAATTAGAATTTGTAAATGTTTAAATAAAAGAAAAAATATATTTTAATTTATCTTTGAAATATATTTTACCTGATTGTGTTTTTAATTTTAAATAAGAACTATTTGTATTTTGTTGATAATTTAAAAATGATTGTAAATAGGGATGAAATAAATAGGGATATAAAGAAGAATTAAAATATTGCTGTTGATGTTGTTGTGATTGTTGTGGTTGTGAATTTTTTATTTTTATTGTTCGTTGCTCAATATTATTTTCATTTTCATTTTCATTAGAAACATTTAACAACGAGTCAATGGAAAATTTAGACATGTTGTTTTCAATGTTTATGAAAATTTTATAAAATGATAGAATAAACTGTTCATATTCTCATTCATATATCTATTTAGAATAGTGTTTTAATTTTTGATTGGCTGATCGATTATCCTACCCGTTGATTTGATTTATAATTGGTTAAAAATCAAGAAGAAAGAGAAAAATATAAAAGAAAAGCAAAAAAAAAAAAAATATATAGAAATCATCTCCCTCTCTCTCTCTCGCCACTATATTAATTGCCATCATTAATACAATCAAAAAACGAAAAGAAAAGAAAGAAGATTGTTATAATCGTTTGATTGATTGACTGTCTGATGTTTGTTGTTTTTACTTCACACTTTTCATTTCAATGATCATCATTTTCAAACGATTTTAAGCCGATATATATATGTATAGTGTAAATTGATAGTTAAGAAACATCATGAGTGAATAAATCAGCAACCACATCCTTTTAATATAAAAGCAAGTGATGCTTTTTTCTATAAAACTATTTGGTGTTGTTGTTGTTGTAAATTAAAGATCAGTAAACGTTTTACATAATTAAACGTCTGTGATAAAATCAACTTTCACAGACCTAAAAGAGTTTCATTTATAGATGGGAAAAACAACAGCAATAAGTTATTACATGATAAATGGTTAATTTTGAAATTTAATGATGGTTGCTGATTGTTTAAAATGGAAACAAATCTAAATTTTATTGTATGGTCAGAGGCGACGCTCTAATAATGGTCGAGTTTCTAATACAAAAAGTCTTTGGCTTTAATTTTTTGAAAATTAGTTACAACAGTAGAAAAATTTGTTGCGACCAGTGGCGGCGTGAAGGAGTTGAAACAGAGGGTGGACTGTAGTTCCAAAAATCGGAGTAAGTTCAAAAACGTTTTTTTGACAAGTTTGTTAAAGTAAAGTAAACGATACAAAACTCGCCATTTTATTTATTTCGGACGTACTGTTGTATAATCAGTTACCATCACACTTGTAGACACATGAAGGAAACTGCATTTTTAGATGTTCCTTCATATAGTGTATTCAAAAACGAGGTGGGTGCTCCATTGAGACAAGCATTTTTTTTAAGAGAACGCAAGAAAAAAAAATTTTCTGGTTGGGTAAAAGCGCTTTATTTTTATTTTTGAGGGTGTCGCATCACCCCACACATCCCTCAGTAACGTCAGCTCTGATCCCTGTATATGGTCAAAAGTGATGTTTTTATATATGAAAAAGACGAGATGATCTTATGATATCTTAGTAAAACATCGTGCCTTTGAAAATATAAGAAATAAATTGCCAATTACAATACAATACAATTGCTGTATTGCCAATACAGACGTTTTAATACGTTTGTTGATAAGTCAAAACAGAAAGGATGACGCTATGTGATGCGTCATTGTCGTCTTTACAGTCGAATTTGTTCATTTGTGATGTATATAATTAGCTTGATGAAATTATTTAAGTGAGTTGTGAGTGATATTTATTTTTGAAAATGTGTTACTCAATAACACTTAAACTTAAAAGAAAAATGATGTGTCAAGTATATCATTGTTGTTTGTTTTGTTTTTTTCATTTTTGAGATTCATTTTTATTAACAAACAATTCTAAATTGAGTACAATATTTGTCATTTTCACTTTTTTTTCTTCTTCTATTTTCTCAAATTGACTTGTTAATTGAACGATTAACAAAATGAAAATGTGTGTGACAACAATGAAAATTGATCATAAAAGACGTGTGTGTTATCATATAGAATGAAAAGAAGTGTTGTTTATTACAGACACAGATTAGTTGATAAGTGACCGATAAATATGTAAATAGCTTTTTAATAGTGATATCCATTTCCTTCAAGATATTAAACTTTCTCATTTTTTTTCACATCGACATGAGAAATTAATCAAACAGATCAGCGGGTGTCAATGGTCGATTTATTGTACCATTATGAACGGAAAGTAAATGTTTAGAAGAAGAAGAAAAAAAAGAGGAAGTGTCAATTTATGTATGCGAAACTCTAATTTATTAAAATAAATTTTAGTTTCTTTCTAATCAGAGCGGTGAGTGTATTAAAACTTTAAAGGATAATATATAAAACGTACAGTTATTTACATAATATTTCTTCTTTGCTGATTTTGTGACATCTACGTTAAAACTGGTATCGGAAAAATAACAACAACACATATTAGTGTTATTTAACAGTTAGTCGATTTTTCATTGTAGACGATTAGGTTGATTATTAGTCTCGAAATTCACTTTTATTTGAAAATGAAATTCTTCATCATATACATAGAGTCTCACATCTATATACTGTCGACAATCTACTGTTTGTTTTCGGCTACTTTTTAATTGAGATCACTATTTTTTGTACTCACTCTCACTTTACTTCCCACTCTCTGATGTTTGTTTGATGTAAATTAAGACTTTCAAAATGAGACCACATTTTATCAGAAAGTAGTCTCAATTTAGAAGATTCGTTGTTTTCTAATACATCGTGTGAGCATACTAACGGTTTTTACAGATGTCTAAGAATGTTTTTTTTGCATTTGTCTAATCGTAGATCTCTATAAGGGTTTTTTCTACCTAGAACCTGAGGATAAGTTTAGAAAGTGTCTATGTAGCAGGGTAAAGCGAGAGTGTACGAGCCAGGATTTTCCGAAAATATTTTATTAGAGAAAAATGTTGCCAATGAAATTGTCAGAACATTACGAAGAAAAAATATATATTTCTGGACTGCTTCCGAGACAAACGACATAGCAGAATAGTCTTATTCTCTATAATAACAAAAACTTTCTTCAATAGATTGTGTTCGTTTGGGTGGGATTTGTCCCTTAGTGTTATTTTATCAATATTTGAAAGAGATTTCTTTTTTCATGTCAACGTGTATGAACAAATCTTATATTTATTATATGCGCTTAGCTGTATGATAATCGAGAGATGCGATAATTGACTATTTGTTGTCTATGTTTTTGTAATATGGAATAATTATTTATTGATACTTTCTTTATTTTTCCATATTGGAATCTGAAAACTGTAAGATAATCAACATCTTTAATGTAATACCATCAACTCTTCTCTTTCTAAAATTTTCAAATAATAATAGTTCTATATCATAATAACAATGAGCCTTGAAGTGTAATCTATTATGTTTCATGCTGTTATGTAGGAGTATTACAATGTTGATGATTAAGATTTTCAAAGTAGTGCCTATACAGAAATAATTTCTTTAAATAAAACTATTTGTTTTCTTTTATTTGTTGTAGAAATGATATTCAAACGGGAATAGATCGTCTAACGAATTCAACATATTTCAAAGATCCACAAGTGGCCAATATATTGGTTTTTCCAACAGATACAAAATTTTTCGATTATGATATTTATAAAAATCGTCATTTAATTTTAATGGATAAGGTATGAAAGAGACAATGGATGTAGGTAGGGATGCACCAAATCCGGATATTTGTGTTTGATGGGTTTGGGTTTGTGTCTGATGGGTTTATATTTGGTGAAGATTTGGGATTTGAGGTTTGTAAACCCAAACACTTTGGGTTTGGTTTGGTCACCAAACCCAACGAAAGTATTATTATCGTTAGTAAACTGCTAGACAAATGTCCATAATAAATTTCGAACTTATCGATCGAGATTTTTGCGGAAAAATGAAAGTTATCCAAAAATCCTGAAACACATATCAATCAATTCAGTTTTTTATGCTGATTCCAAATATGACATTGGTTATGCAGAAAAATAGGAGTTTAACAATGAAAACTGCAAAATACAAGCGAAATTCCTTGTTTTTTGCTACCTGTTTCAAAAAAATTAA